CCCACTTTGTCGGCATGCATCCGACGAAGTGGGTATTCACCCACGAACGCTCATGCTCCAATACGTCTGTTAGTCTATAAGGTGCCACAGGACTCTTTGCTGCTTTTACTAATCTGATGACAGTTTGTGAACAAAATCATGAAAAAATAGATGGCACTGTCACAGCCAAAGTTCTCAACATTGGGCTTAAGAGAAATGTTGAACACATGCTGAGTGCCCTGAAGCCTATTTCTGCAGCCTTGAACAAAATGCAGGGAAATAGCTGTTTTATTGCTGACACTGTTGAAATTTGGAAGGAACTGAGTGAGATCTTAAAAAGAGAAATATGCAATGACAGAGTTAAATTACAAGCATTAAAAAAAAAAAAAAAAAAAACCAACGAATGGGACAAGCACTATCTCCATCTCATTTTCTTCCAAATATTCTCAATACTTGGTACCAGGGCCAAACCTTAACTGCTGAAGAAGAGGAGTTGGCTATGACATGGACATCCAGCAATCATCCCTCCATAATGCCAACTATAATAAACTTCAGAGCTAAGGGTGAACCATTCAAGAAATATATGTTTGCTGATGATGTTTTAAAGAAAGTCGCACCAGTGAACTGGTGGAAGTCACTTAAGCACTTGGATTCAGAGACTGTTAAAGTGATAATCTCACTTTTAACAGCAGTCAGTAGCTTCTTCTGCTGGTGTAGAAAGAATATTTTCTTCCTTTGGACTAATTCATTCCAAATTGAGAAATCATTTGGGACCTGAAAAAGCAGGAAAGCTTGTTTTTCTTTTCCAGATTATGAACAAACAGGAAAATGAAGGTGAAGACAACTGCAGAAGCCAATATTTTAAGTTTCTCATGTTGACCTGGCTGACATAGTCGATTTAATTTTTGTGGGTGTTTCTTTAAAATATTTCATTTAACTATTTTAGTTAAAAACAATTTTAACAAAAACAAATCTGATTTTAAAAAATGTGAATGTTTAACTAAATTCAAAAATTCATATGCTTGTTGTGTTAAAATATTATATGTTTGCTGTTGAAGAAAAAAATCCAGAATACATAGCATTGTTGTTTTAGTTAAATAAAACAATTTAAATGTCTGTCTGTTGATGTTCTCTTCCTAATACAGCATGGCAAGAAAATCCTCAAATATTAATGATTAACCTGTTGTATTGGAGATAGTTCACCTACCGATGGCTTCATAAATATCTGCTTAATTACCTTTGGTAAATGAAATAACCAAACAATCATTCATTTTCTGATATAGCTTTAAAACTACTCTGTAAAGTTTTCAAAAAAATCACTTTAAAAATGTATAGTGTGTACCTTCTAAAAATGAAACCTACATCTATCTCTGAGTTGTGAAGAATATGTATTAAGGTTATAACAACCAACAAGAATGCACTTTTATGTAGAAATCCATGATTAAATCGAGTCTTCCTGACTAGTGATTTAAATCAAATCCACCCTGGTTTCAGGTGTGTTCTGACCAGAACCACATAGACTATCCACCTACCTGCTACCCAAACAATTTATTGTAAAGTCCTATCTGAGTATCTGGCTACTGTCACCCCTACGTCTCTTTCACTATCACTGCTCCAAGTGCTTCCCTCATTTGAATTTTCACTAAGCTTTAAGAAAAATCCTTAATTATTAAAAAGTTCATTTCCAATTCCACTTTAAGTTCATATAGCAGACTGAATGATGTTGGGTCTTCTGGGACTGAGAGATAGGCTCTCAGTTTGACACAGAGAGTAGTCTTCTAATCTAGCAACAACAAAAAAGTTCATAGAATTAGTATGAAGACTTTTCAAGATTTCGGAGAGGTTTTCTTAAAATATTATTAAATAGCACATGGTCAGGGGGTTACACAGAACAAAAATCCCACCTGCCATAATGGTGGTCCCATCAAGGAAGTCTTAGCTGCTGGAGCTCATGTTTCCCCAAACGATCAACATAAATTCAAACAAACAGATGCAAGACACCTGACTCTCAATTTAACAACTAAGCTAATGCATGCCATCTTCAACCACAATCCACCTCCACTGGTGTGTTAGGTTGATGGCAACATATTTTTTTGGGATTGTTAAATTTACAAATTAATTATGCAGGAATGGATTAATAGATCTCAGCACTATAGGAAAGGGCCTTGAAACAAAAGTTTGTCTTTTGACAAACTTCACATCAAATCTGTGGCCCTCTACAGTTGCTATTTTTAAGAGCACTGTAAGTGTACACCATGCTCTAGAAACAGAAAGACAATGTCCCCACCCCCATGTAATTCATACAAATATTACATAATGCACACACAAGACATTGCAAAAGAACTCAGGCGTGGGAGCATCAAGGGAGAGGAGATCAGAGTAGGAGGCTTCACAGAAAAGGATGGATGTGAAGGACCAGGAAAGGAACATAGCACACAGAAAGTGGGAGGATCAGCCTATCTAGGAAGACATGGGTCAGTCATTTCAGGATGATACAGCCATCATTTGCACCCCAGAACAGAAGGCTGTCGGGGAAAGGCATTTTGGGGCTAAAATACTTTGACAGAGACCCTGCAGCTCTAACAGTCTCTCCCTCTCAGCTCTACATGAAAACTGGTATCTGCTGTACAGAGGCTTGAACTCAATGGACAGGTCAGCAACCTTAAGATCTGGGTTCTGAAACCACAGAGTAGCAGCTTTGGGATATTGCCTCATATCCTGTTCCAGTGCTAGAATTCAGCTGACAGGACTCAACAGTATTCTTTCATTTAGTCTGACCTCCCCCTTAGGAGAAACAAAGTGGCTTCTCTGAACTCCTGAGCTCAGCCATGGCAGAATTCCAATATAACAAATGAAGAGCTTTGCCTTTAGAAGCCAAAGGTTATGACACATTATCCCGCTGTCATGAAGATGGCAAATAAGTGCCCATTTAGTACTCACGTTGTATCTACACCCTTTAAATAGAGAGCCAAGGGAGATGATGACAGTTAGCACTAAGGCTCTGCATCACAGGGCATTTAGAACTACAGCCTGGACTTCCCACAGAGAAGGAGGTAGAATGTCTTCCAAGCATCACTAGCTGTGTTGGAAGCAAAGCTGAGTGCTCCCTGAATTGTCTTAAATGATTGATAGGCCCTAAAAAGGGATTAATTGCATTATGGAGTTCAGTATTAATTCTCTCACCAATTTCCAGACCAAATTTGCTCAGTTTGCAAGTAAAATAATAATAATCTATCTGGTAGCGCCACAAACCCTCAGGGATCTGAGAGTCAAGCTGCATTTTTCCTCCCATTTCATGAATAAGAGGTTCTGCAGGCCAAATGAGGCCTTCCTTTAAATCTGTGCAAACCCACTTAAATACAACAGCGAGTTTGAGGAGGGCAGTTACAAAAAACATCACTTTACCTCCAAATCAAGGAAATTTTATATGAAAAAATCAATTAAGCTTAATGAATCTGGAGTTCCACAATGGCATCTTTAGGGTAAAGCATCACTTTAAAGAATCCAGGAATTTATAGAATAGATAATGAGCAAACCCATATTAATCAAGAGGGAAATGAAAATCAAACTGCAGAACAGCCCAGTAAGTATATATCTAACAAAATAAATGCTTTCTTAGAACATGCCACATGCGGCTCTTTTACAGTTAAAGTGCGGCTTGCAGTGTCCCCCACCCCCATTCTCTGCCTACCAGGCTGGGAAAGGGAGGGGGGAGAGGCTGTGCATGCTCAGGGCTTCTGCCCTGCTGCAGGGTGGTGGGGCTTGGACTTCTGCCAGAGACAACTGGTGCCTGCTGGGGAGGTGGGGGGGGGCCACAATTTAAAGGTTTGCCCCCCCCCAGGGACACCCCCTCTTACACTCAGCAGTTCTCCCTGCAACTCCCAGCTGTTTGCCGCTGCCTCTCCCCATGACCGCAGCTTCCAGCTTGCTAGCTTCAGCAGCTGCTGTGCAGGGAGGGAGCACAGTGGCACCGTGTGACCAAGTGTGGCCAGCAAATCCTGGCAAAAATCGGGGAGGGGAGGGGGCATGTGACCCCTCATGTCGCCTCTGGCTTCTGCCCAACAGGGATGGGGGGTCTCAGGGCTTCAACCACAGGGGGCATGCCTGCCGGGGATCAGGGTTTCAGCAGAAGCAGGGCTGAAGCCCTGAGCCCAGACAGGTGCCTCCCATGGGGCTGAATCCCCAAGATCTCCCTCCCTGCAGGGCAGAAACCCCTAGCCCCATCACCCTGCCACAAGGCTGAAGCCCCAAGCAACTGGCAGACGAGCCCCAGCTCTTGAACTTCGGAGGGTCAGTAAGTTTGGCCACCACTGCCATATACACAAGTGATTAAAGACCAGATGGTGCAGTAAATGAGTATACTTGCTTTTCATCTCTGGAAACAAATGATTCATATACAGATTGGATCACAAGTGGGAATAAGTTTAGTAGTGGACATGTGTGCTCCTCAGACAGGTTTACACATTATACAGCAATCTTTTTACATTCTCCTACCTAAGTAATACTATTGTAAGCACATCCTTAAACAAACCTTTTCTTGGGCGGGGTTTCTGAGGTTCTGTAGCTATTGGGAATGGTGAAGCCTGAAATGATAGAAAATAATAGTGTTAAAATGGCAAGGCTTCAAGGAATTCCCCCACAAAACTCCCCAAAAGGACAGCTGGCAAATGTCAAAGCACAAAGCAAAAATAGCAGCATCTTTGCTAAACAGAATCTACTGTACTAGCCAGATGCTAGTCATTTCTGTTGGAAGCTCAATCCAGATTTTTGCTATTTGTGTAGATTAAGAAAAATCTCTGATCTTAATAAGTACAAGTGTTTTTACTGCTAGCTAACATCAGTATAGTTAGTACACCTACATTTATTAGGGTTTGGGAAGTGAGAATTACATGGGCATATTTTGCTTATTGAAAATGCAACCATATAAAAAGCTCCTTAAAATCAGAGGGAATGGCAGAAGTCCATTACACAAGAACAACAGCTCCCTACACAGATAATTACAGCACTGTGGGTCTGAAGTGGTTCAGGTAAGGAGAATGGAAGGTTCTCTGTAGTAACGAGTAGTCCCATGGGACTCGCTGGAACTACTCACATGAGCAAGGGTTTGCAGGATTTGGCCCTAAGGAAAGGAGTCCTAATATTAACTGTGAGAGGCATTTGATTAACAAGGTGTTTCAAAAGGCTCTCTGTGCTGTTCTGAAGACATCACTGGTAGGGTCTGATGCTGGAATAGGGTAGTCTAATTCTTGTACCCTAGCATACCACCTTTTCTGGATGAGGAAATGTAAGCTATGGAAACTACTCTGCTGTGATATGGTGGGGAGATCTATTAACCCCCTTTCTATTCTTGGCACTGGCAAACATAGGCACCGACTCCATGGGTGCTCCGGGGCTGGAGCACCCACAGGGAAAAATTAGTGGGTGCTCTACACCCACCGGCAGTCAAGCTCCCTTCACCCCCCTGCCCCACCTCCTCCTCTTCCTCCCCTAAGCACGCCGCGTCCCCGCTCCTTTACCTACCTCCCAGCACTTCCCGCCCGGCTTAGCATGCTCCGGGAGGGCAGGAGGAGTGGGAATGTGGCATGCTCAGGGGAGGAGGCGGGGCCAGGGCAGGGATTTGGGGAAGGAGTTGGAATATTGGCGGGGAGGGGGCGGGGACTTTGGGGAAGGGGTTGGAATGGGGGCGGGGAAGGGGTGGGGCAGGGCCTCATGGAAGGGGTGGAGTGGGGGTGGAGCTGGGGGCAGAGGAGGTATCAAGCTCTCAGGGGAAACAGGGGAAGTCTGCGCCTATGTTGCCAGATGGAGGATACATTCTTAGCATCCCTGGCCATTTAGAGACATCCACTCCCACTGCTTTTGATGCAAAGCTAATTGTGAAATTGCTGAGCATTAGTGAAGATGAGATCTTTTCTACATTGAGAGAATATACACTAGGATCATAGCAATGCACTGGAGCAGATTAAAGGCACACTTAGCCCAGACTTCTGATTCTGACTGTGCCAAACGGTAAATGCTTCAAAGAAATGCCAAAGCCCTGCACACAAGACAATACACCAACGTTTGATTCCAAACACGTCAAAATCTCAAGCACAAGAGTGCTGTTTGTAGCAGACCTGACAGATATTGTAGGTATCCTGTTGACAGCAAAGAGGAGAGAATTATTCATATAAAGATCACAAAAATCCTTTTGTTGTTCTTACATCTGACTCTCATCCTGGAGCTAAGGCAGACACTTAGGAAGTTAAGGTAGGCATTGACAAACGGGAAACATCCTTTAGAGACAAAAAGCATGACTGACTCAAAGTAGGTTTCTACACTCAAAACATTGAACAGATCTACTTCCTAGATGTGTGCATCTAGGATCAGATCTGCCATTTTTAATAATCAAAGTTAGGTTTGATTGCTTTTTAACTCCTGCAAGCCAATAGAACTGAGCTAGCTTCTATTCCATCTCGTGCATCACCAACAGTTAAGGTTAAGACCAGCTTTCTGTTTAAAGCTGGACTCTAAGTGCTCTAAAATCTGCCTGGTTACCTTGATTGCTGTGAAATTACATGTGTCTCATAGGGTCTCAGGGTTCTGTCAGTGATCGAATTTTGGAACCATTTGATCAAGAGGTTCTCAGGATATAGCCCCTAGAAAAAAACTGCTTTTCTTAAAGTTGACACATTCTGACAATTTGAAGTGTTGTTGTAGCCATGTTGGTTCCAGGATGTTAAAGCAAAAAGGTGGGTGAGGTAATAACTTTTATTGGACCAACATCTGTTGGTGAGAGAGACAAGTTTTCCAGCTACACTGACCTCTTCTTCATTCTGGCAAGGTTTTTTGAACAGCCCTAGAAGAACAGCTGCCACAGGAATTAAACCAGGGCTGAGATCACGCACCCTTCCCCCAATACAGTGCCTGGCACCCACCAGCCTTTTGGTAGAAATCATGTGCGTAATAGATCAGTGGTTTTCAAACTGCGGGTCATGACCCAGTACTGGGTCGCGGAATGTAAGGCACTGGGTCACAGCGGTTCTGGTCAGAACCACCGACCGGGCCATTAAAAGTCCCGTTGGTGGTGCTGCCCGGCTAAGGCAGGCTAGTTCTTACCTGTTCTGACACCGTGCTGCGCCAGGAATCGGCCAATGGGAGCTGGTGGGGGGGAGGCGGTGCCTGTGGGCGAGAGCCACGCGGAGCCATTTGCATGCCTCCGCCTAGGAGCTGGACCTGCTGCTGACCGCTTCTGGGGCGCAGCACGGTCCGCGGTGCCAGGACAGGCGGGAAGCCTGGCTTAGCACCCCAACTGCACCTCTAACCGGGAGCCGCCCTAGGTAAGCCTGCACCCCAACCCCACGCCCCAATCTCCTGCCCCAGCCCTGAGCCCCCCCAAACCCGGAGCCCCTTCCTGCACCCCAAGCACCTCATCCCCAGCCCCACCTCAGAGCCTGCACCCCCAGCCCAGAGCCCCCTCCCACACCCTGAACCCCTCATTCCTGGCCCCATCCCTCTGCCCCAACCCTGAGCCCCTCCCACACCCCAAACGCCTCATCCCCAGCTCCGTAGGGTGACAGGCATCAATTTTCTTCAACTGGGTCGCCAGAAAAGTTTGAAAACCACTGTAATACATTACACTGTGCAGACATGGACAGAAGAATTAACAGAATGTGTAGCCTTCAAAATTTCACATCACCTGGATAGCTCAAGAGATAAGCAGTAGTTCTTTAACTCTAACCCACACAGCCAGTGTCAGTTTGAGCCCAATCTTGGGCAGAAATCTGGACATGGTCTCAGGACATATTGCTTAAAATCTGTGCATCAGTGTTTGGAGTTTTTTTTTGGGGGGGGGGGGGAATGGATGGGAAATGTAATAAAGTATTCTTGTAAAATAAAATTAGACGCCCAAATGCTTGTTTCCAGTGAAGGACATTTTAGGGGGAAGAGGAGTGAGAGGGGTTTGGGGCTGCATTGAGGGGAGAGGGATAAATAAATAGGGATGGGAGGTAAGAGGGATGGGGAGGTTCAGAGGAGGGATACTGGGAAGGGAGACTGGGGGAGAATAGATGCAGGGGTGCCTGTCACCCCACATTCTCCCCTGGTATAAGTGTTCCAGGATATGGGGGCTCCCGTCCCTCTAGGGGGATCTGAACCCCTACATCCCTTTCTCCACCCCCTCACCCCCACTCATGTGAGCTGGCCTTGCTTCTCTGGTAGTGTCTGAGCTGCTCTCCCTGCAGTGGAATGCTTCTTCCACAGCAACTGTCAGTAGCTAGGTCGATGGCAGAATTATTCCATTGACCTAGCCATGTCTACACCAGGGGTCAGGTTCATTTAACTATGATGCTCAGAGGAGTGAAGTTTTCACACTCCTGTTAACTGTAGCTATGTCATCCTAACTTGTAAGTGTAGACCAGGCCTCAATCTAGGACAAATTTTTGCCACTTACAACATTGGAGATTGTGGCAGCTCTTTTGTAAATCTCCCTTTGGCATACCAGTGCCTAGCTGTGAACATTTTATATGATCACATCTGTCTTGGGATGGCAGGTCTACAAATTGTTAATCATACACTCAGGAAAGAGTTAAACGGAAGTATGGATATAAAAGTAGAAAAACTCCCTCTCTCTCTCTCTCTAAATTGACTAGCAACTCCTTTCACTTCCGCAGTTCAGACTTTCAGTAATGCAAAAAAATCCAAACACCAGTCTTTCCTATTAGGCATTTTCTTATAGACTCACAAAGGTGGGTGAAGAAAGTTATCTACTGTGCCGTGTCCTGCAACTTCCCAGGGCCCTGTACAAGACCATTCCCTACTGTACATTTTCTACTGGTTTGGGGAGTCTAGGCTTACAATGTCTGAATCTCACGTTTATGTTTCATGTTACTACCCCCCCAGATAATGTCACAGCACAGAATTAGCCACACCACACAATGTTATCCAATTCCATCCAAGATTGCTACATCTCTAGACTTCAGCACACTTGTTGGAAGTGCTGAATCCATTTAGACTGGAGTATGGTCATTCTTCTCTTTTACACTGGAAGCAACTCAGTGGAGAACAAGCAATATTGCTGAAGCTCCGTGTCCCCAGTGAGACGATAAAAACTCAGAGCTCCCATGATGCAGCATGCTTGTCAGGTGCTATTAAAAGACCTTCTCCACCTCTATGGTGGACAGATTCTACCTTCGGGAAAGTCTTAGATTCAGTTAGGAAACTAATTATGGTGATTAAATTTCTGTTGTAATCAGTTCATAAATCTCTTTCAGGTCTCCAAAGATTAAAACATAAGCTGATTATACTGAGAGCCGAGGGTGACAGAGTTAGACTACCTGTCGGGTGTCAAGGCAAAGGAAAACTCTCCAGATGAAGAATACCCTTGCCACTGTTGAAACCTAGAGTAAGATTGAATGTCTATTACATTGTAAATATTACTGTCCACAAAAGTAGCACAAAGAAAAGAAAATTTGGGGGACATTTAAGTAAATAACATATGGGACAACAAATCTAGCACAAGCAGTGAAGTGACACATTTAAGTTTTGATGCTTTGATGCTGCTTTGTGATAAGCATTGTACTTTTCATAGATCAAAGTGTTAGTAGTT